CTAAGGTGGACGCCACGTCCGGTGCCGGAGTCGTCAAAGCCGTCCCTCATCCTGCTGTACGCTGGGAAGGATGATGCGGGGGCACTGGATGCTTACCTCCATGCCTACAACCCGGCCTTCTCGGAGTACATTTGGGCAGTGGACATCAGGCGAAAGGGTGGAGATCTTGGACAGGACACGCTGGGAGACGAGCCGTACTCTATGATGTGCTCCATGGCCATGGCGGGCAAGGTCGCCTTTGTGGGGGGCGGCCCCAACTGCAGGACGTGGAGCATTCTCAGATGGTTCCCCAAACCGGGAGGCCCGCCGCCGGTGAGGGGCAGGGCGGAGCAGACCCTGTGGGGCTTAGAGGACCTGGAGCCCCGGGTAATGGAGGACACGGACAACGACAGCGTGCTCATGCTCCGACAGATGTACCTGACCTCGCTGGCCTACCAGGGGCTAGGTCAACTAACGGTCCCGCAGGTGGGCTCCTCCTTCCTGGAGCACCCAATGGACCCAATGGAGTGCAGCAAGAGCCCGAGCGCAGCAAGGTGCTCATCGATCTGGGTCACACGGGCCTACATTCAATGGGCGAACGCACTCCACCACTCCCTCATCAAGTTTGACGAGTGCCGCCTGGGCCAGGTGGTAGTGAAGTCCACGACATTGTCAACGGACCTTCCCCTTCACCATTGGCATGATCTGCGATGCAACCACGGAGCTCACCCCAGCGGGGAAAAGCTCAACTCTAGTGACCTCAGCCGGTATCCAGAGCAGATGATGCAGGGTCTTGCAGCGGCCATCCTTTGCAGAGCGGGACCCGTCCTGGAGGCGCTGAGGCCGGGGGGCACGGTGCCCCAAGCGAACCCAACGACCCCCCCGAGGCGACAGAGGGAACCATCTCCCAGCACGCCGGGGGACAACAAGCGCCAGTCCCTGAGGCTGAAGGCCGGCCAGCAAGCGTTGGCGGGACTAACCTTGGGCTCACTTCCGGTCTCGGCCTCAGACAATCCGGAGGTCCGGACACCAACACAGCCGGCTGGCGGGGCGGTCGAACTTCGGGTGGAACTCTTTCCCCTGAGCCATGGGCACGCCATTGCATGGAGATCTCGGATCGGCCCACCACCCTGCCGATCACGCACGACCCAAATCTCTCCGACAAGGTTATGTACCTCCAGATGGCCTTCAAACAGCGCCCCTAAGGGGACGGGGGTGGGAAGCCCTCACTTGGACGGCTGGCCCCGTGGACTCGGCCACTGTCCAAAGCAGCAGCGTTGGGGGCCAAGATCTGTGTCCTCACGTCGCCATGGGGGGACAAGCTCCAGGAGTCGCTCTCGTTGGGGGACGGGTCACATCCCTTCCCGGAGGATCTGCTGGAGGATATCAGGGAGATCCTGGCGCCGGGGGCAGGCCGACCAGCTGAAGGCCAACCCTTCTTCCTGGACATCTTGCACAGCGTGGCGCTGAACATTCAGGACCCCGACCACCAGTCCTCGGGATCTGGAACAAGGGGTCCCACTGGGGGTCACGGACCCACCCCTAGCCTCGCCGCGCATCTGGCCACTCAAGAAGGAGCACGGGCCGGGGTAACTACCTTGATCAGTGAGTCATCCGTGGCGCATTCCTGGAGGAGGTCCCCATGGGCATGGTAGAGGGCCCCCTCACCAAGATGGAGGCAGCAGCGCGCTGTGGCTGCAAGATTGAGGACCCCCCCTAGCGGGCATCGACGAAGGGGACAAGATCCGCACCATCTACGATGGCTCGGTGGGCGGGGCCAATGACACCATCAGGAACCAGACGGTGGAAAGGACGACAGCTCCAACGGTGCTGGATGGGGTACAAGCTCTTCATTGGCTACATGCGGCAGCTGCGGAGGGACCTCCCTCTCAGGGTGCCCCTGGCCCCGAGAAGGAGGTCGTCAAACCTCCACGGGCACCAGGTGGGTGCTGCTCAAGGCGGACGTCACCAAGGCCCACCGGAGAGTGAAGGTCCTCAGGAAGGACTGGCGGTTCCAGGTGACTTCACTGAGGTGGCTTACTGGGGGAAGAATGGTGGGTGAACAAGGTAGGCACATACGGCATGGCCAGTGCCCAATCCTACTGGGGACGCCTGGCAGCCCTTCTACTCAGGGTCCTCTACGCACTTTTCCCTCAAGTGGATTGGAACTTCGTCTTTGTGGATGACTTCCTGTGGCTGCTTCGCAGCGAGGGGGCAGTAAACTTGGCGGTGGCGCTGTTGGCAACACTCCTGGCCTTGGGTACCCCGCTTAGCTGGAAGAAGACACATTTGGCGGAGGTCAACACGTGGCTGGGCTTCGTGGTCCACCCGAACATCCCGCAGGTTCTCATGGCCGCCAACAAACACATCCTGGTGATGGAGGTCTTGCAGACCATGGTGGAAGGGCAGGCGATGCACTCAAAGGACATCGAGAAGGCCCTGGGCCGCATCCAATGGGCAACTGCTGCATGTCCGTTGGCGAAGTCGATGCTTCAGCCACTTTGGGCCTGGAAGATGGCCACCACCACGGTGGGGAAACCCCCCAAGGTGGTCAGGATGCTGGCGTTCATGCTGCGGTTCCTCTTCAACACGCCCTTCGTCCAGTACTCCCCTTACTTGCCGAAGTCCTCTTGGTGGGGTTGCAGCGATGCTAGCGCCTCGGACGAAGGACTGGCATTTGTGGGAGGATGGTGCTCCAATAAAATGGAGCCGGAAAAGAAGGAGGTGTACTGGTTCCACGAGCAGATCCACGTGGAAGAGTACCCTTGGGCATTCAAGAATGGGGATCCCAAGCGGAGGATTGCGGCTTTGGAAATGCTGGGCACGCTCTTCCTCTGTAACATGATCCTCACGCACCAAGGCCCTCTGTCCTCCCGGGTCCGACTCCCGGTGGGCAGTGACAATCAGGGCAACGTCATGGCGATGCTCAACCTTGGATCCAAGAAGCCCTACACCGCGGCGATCCTGATGGAGCTGGTCTTCCTGCTCCACACCCATGGCTGCTCGCTGGCGGCCAACCACGTGCCCCGGGAATTCAACCAGTGGGCTGATGAGCTGACGCACCCAGATTTCTCTGGGTTCGACCCTTTGCACAGGGTCCCCAAACAGGAACTCTGCGAGGAGTTCGTTTTTCTCCCGCGTCTCCTGAATGGAGATGCATTTGATCTTAGCGTGGGCCCACCCATGCTCCCGTGACCGGAGCCGGTGGGTGACTCACTTCCCCTGGTGGCAGACCCCCCTGTGGCCTGGGTGCCCCGGGCCCCGGCTCAGGGGCGGGCGCTATCAGTCTGCACACCCGTTCTTCAGTTTTTGAGAGTTTGTGGTGGGTGGCCCATGGGGCCCACCCAGCCGTTGACATCTGACAGGGGAAGATGAGTCCCTGGCACCAACACATTGCTTGGATAAAAGAGTTATCGCATGCTTGTGTGGTGCCGCTTGGTTAGCTTACATACACAGTGCAAAAGAAGTCTGCTGTTGTTTCCCTTGAACGCATCAGCCTCTTACGGGTTTGAGATCATGGAAGGTGTTAAGGGAACTACTGATGGACAAACTCGTGATGGTGGATTTTTTTCACCCTGGTCCAGGATTTTGTCCAGTAGACTCCACGTTGCGGGGATCCGGCCACGGCATGGGTCAAACTAGCCCAAGCATGGAGTTTGATTCTCCTTGCGCTTTCCCTCTAAAATCTCCGATCCCACAGCCATTTTAAAAGTCAGGGTGAGCCAAATATAGACCAGAAGCACAAAAAGCAAGTTTTCTGTGTAGCCAAGATCTGGGCCAAGTAAAAACCACCCCAAAAGGGGCCTCAACACAGGAACAAACCCATATGAGAAATGGACATCGGTTTCCCGGTTACTTTTCCTTCAAACTCACCAAAATGGGTTGGATGTTCGTCCCAGTTAGCAAGTGGTTGGCAACTTGCTTGATAACCTCCTAATAGCCAGGTTAACCCCACTCCGGGTCTTATGAGTGGGTTATAACCTAACTTACCAACCACTTACTGGCTTGGCCGAGCAGCCACGTACCCTTAGCAGGAACAAGCCCTGAAAAAGCCGCAAGCAAAACCCGGGTACATGAAGGCCAGGGCATCATCCCAGCCAGAATCGCTTGGTTCATTCTTTACATACTGTGGATGGACGGAATCCATTTCGCACCACCTGAAGAAAAACCAGGTTTCTGCTCATGTACCCTACAAATACCAGCACACGTGTTGGTTTCAACCATGGTTTCATTTCGTGGTGCGAACATATAGAACAGGGCTAACATGGCGTGGAATGGAATGATGATTCCCCGTAAATACCCGCAAATGCTTTCAAAGTGGCGCGAGAGATGGATTTGGCGTCACCCTCCGCAGTATTTAGTCATGAAGGCAAACTTGTAGTAGGCCCTTCCAGACATGGAAAACCATTCTTTGGGATTTCGCCACCCTCCGCAGTTTTGGGTAGATTCTGGGTTCCACCGCGGGGCCGCGAGATATTTTTGCTCACAGCCTCCTCTTTATGGAACGTGCGACGCTCGACCCGCGATATGGAACTATGGAAAATGGGAAACATAGGTACCTGGACCCTCAGGCTTGCCTCGCAAAATGGGTTCTTGCCCTACACATATGGGGTGAGCTGCCCTTTTTTGCGGGTAGTTTGGGGTAAATGCAAAATGGTCCAAAATAAAAGATCAGGTTATCCGCAGCTCCAAGATCACAGCTCCATAGCTCAGTTGGTGGAGCAACATCTCCAGAGTCCAGGTAGACCATTCTTCATATCTGTAGGGGTACTACCTTCCATTTCCATTCTTTCCAGGCATCCTTCTCTCTAAAAAACCACACAACACCCTGGGGAAACAGATCAGGTTTTTGAAAAGAGCGATGGTTGAAAAGAATGGGCCCTTGAGTTTTGAAAAGGATTCGTCCACAGCAATGTCCACCCCAGATTAATACACCCGTCCTAGTAATTGGGAGGTGTTCGCCTCCAAGGAATTACCACCTAGAATACCGATCGGTTTCGCTTTGGCATCGACGCTTCCAGGAGCTGCCGAAGGTGAAGAACTTAGTCCGCCTCGCTTTGGCGGACAACGCCTGCTTGGGCAAGGTGATGGAAGTGAGGCGGGGTCTAAACATTTTTGGGTTCATATGTATATATATATACACGTGTTTACATATATATATATATGCATATACGTGTGTATATATATATATGTACATATTTTCTATCATTCATGGAAGCTGACAGGAGGGTTTTGCAAGACTATTCTTCTGGGGAAGCCCCAAAGAGGGTGTCCACAGCATCGAACGTCTAGTAAACACAATTAAGTTGAGCTTATTACATAGATGTAATTATATACATATGTACATATATGAAGGCATACATATATACATATGAAGACGTAAATCGGATAAAACAACATTTTTGTTGTTTTCCCCAAGAATCAGAATGAAGGAGGTCGCTTCGGACCTCAAAAAAAAGCGGAACGGTGTGGGACCTCATCGTCATCGGGCCCTGAGGTGCCAAGATTCGGCGAGGTGAAGCCCGAAAAAAAAGAAGAAAACACGTGCAGAGGGGTGGCAAATATTTCTCTCTTGTTTTTTGGTCCTTGGACCCAAAGCAAAAGCAGAGGGCTGCAGCTCCTGGCTGGGTTTTTCGGTCCTTTGGAGGGCCTCCCTTTTAAAGTCCACCTTCCCTAAGGTTTTTTTTTTGGGGGGGCCCTCAGAAAAGGTTGTTTCCAAGGGCCCCGGAGGAAGCCCGAACATGCCCCCTTGATGCACAGAGGACTTCTTGGAGGAATGTGGGAAGCCCAAGACCCAAGCGCTTGCACCACATCCAACTTTTTCAAACCGGACGGGTACATGGCGGTGTTGTTTTTGGGTTTCCAGCTTCTCAGCCACTTGCTTCATGTGAGTTGCTTTTCGGGCACCTTTCTTGGTGCCGAGGGAATTTTCCGAGCCGAAGCTACCAGTATTATTTTGTTTCGGGGTTTACATGTCGCTTTTGATTAGATGTCGGTTTCTTTCAACTGACGATGTACATTTGGGCGCCCCTCTTGGCTTTTTAAGCGAAGAGACCCATAGTGTGATTCCGTTCGCATGTTTATAGTTGCCGTGATGAATATGTTTTACTTGCAGATTCCCGCATTGGGCGTGTCGTTTTTTGGGTATCCCTTTTTTGGTGGTTTTCTGACAGAAACCAAAAGGACCACCGAAGCCATTTTGGGCCAACCCGCAAAAAAAAGCACCCAATGATTTTGTGTTTTGCCAAGAGTAGCGGCAAGAGATCCAAGGAAACCACCCATTCAAACAAAAATCATGGAAACAAATGCCGCCCGAAGAGTTTTGTCTTTGGTACCTCAAAATGGAAACGCCTTTAGGTCCCAATTTCCTCCTCTTTAGATCTCGACCTGTCCACAAGGGTCCCTAATCTGACGCTTATGGGCTCATTTGATTCCACAATCAAAACCCGGGTATAATAGATGAAGGTTAGTAAGGGGCAGTTCCAGCCGGAAAGAGTTGCGGATATCCGCCTTCTTACTTCTTGAAACATGGTTCTGGGTTCACCATTTTTGTACCAGGTTTTGATTGTGACTCATTGCTGAAAGGAATATGGCTTGTTTTCGCCCTGTTGGTTTGAAAAGGAACTTGTCACTACTGGAAAGATGTTGTTATCTTGTCACTGTCCACTGGAAGGTCCCCATCTGACGCTTATGGAGTCAAATAGGCTTTGAGACCCTTGCCAGGATTCAGCCGGAGCGCAGCATGCTGGTGTGAAATTCGCGAGACTAGAGCGCCAAAGCGCGCCGTCCAAGCGCGAAAGCCACGTGGCAAATGTGGACAAAGAATGCCGCTCTGGAGCCAGGCTTCCAACTTTTTGTTTTTTTGATTTCCCCGGTACGATTTATATAGTGTCAAATAGTTGTTCCTCTTCTAGTTAATTGTTTCTCTTGTTGAACATGGCCAGTTGCCAAGTGGCGAGTTTTTGTTTGGTGTGTTCAAAGGGGAAATAACTCGGAAGAAGGGAGGTTCTCCTTGGATCATCACAATCCTGTTGTGGCTCAGAGGATCCAAATCCATGAACATGTCGCAGGTGGCTTTTGGATTGCTGCATATGTCCAGCCTCTTCAGCTTTTCTTGAAACAACCTGCGTTTGGGAAAGCCAAATCCTAGCCTTGGGAGGTGTGAGCTTCCTTTTAGTTGGATTCCGAGGGCCTGGGTGTGGCACTTCTCGCGGCAAGTCAGCTGTAAAAATCAATTTGGCAGGTCGAAAATGGGTAAATGGAGCCCTGGGAAGTGGCGGAAGGGCCAGAACTTTGGCGCATTTTGCCAAGGGCTGTTAGGACTTTAACTTTTTGAAACCCAACTAATGGGTTTTCCGCTAAACCACTAAGAGTTAAACTTGTAGCAGGGGAGCAGATTTCGCAACCGAGAACATCTGCGGTCCAATTCCTGATTTAGTTTTGACCCACACCCATTTCCTGGTTTGTGTTGAAACCTGCTCGGATGTCAGGATGTCACTTTGGACCTGGTTTTCGGGGGCAGATCTCAGGTAAAAAGTTTGAGGCCATGAATCGATTTTGGAGACCACCCTTTGGACGGTGCTTGTTTAATCGGATGATTCGGCCATCGTTCCGGCCTGTTTGACATTGGATTCTGCAAACAGCACCGAGAGGAGATCTCAGTTGAGTGCCGCCCAAAACCAATCAGGGGCACCAAAGAGTAGGTGTGTGCCAGGTGTGAGATGGCTGTGGGTCTATCCCTTCCTCACCTCCCTTCATCAGGTGAGGACTAAGGGAAATGGAGGAGGAATAATAAAAGCTACCAAAAACCTGACTATCATTCCCTTTAGGATCCTGTCTAGATGATTCCAGAGCAAACAGTCTATGATTGAGGATTCGTGAGTTACAGAAGGAATAGGTACCATTTTGGGTAGGTGAATTCACCACCCGTTTTAGAACCTATTTTCGTCGGGATTGGGATGTTCACTGCGGGTACGGTTTGGATTTTGATCCGTAGCCAGATAGGCTTTTGGGTGCTGCTCATGTGTTTTGTATATCCAGACTGGCCTAGAGATACTGTGGATAGACGAAATCCATTTCGCACCACCGTTCAGAGACCCTGGAATGATCATTCCCCTGTATATACTCACTTCCTGAGTTCATGAACTTTAAACTTTTTGGGAAGACCATTTTAGTGGTAAATACAAAGTTTGAACTTTTTTTGGGCCATCCACTCAGCAAGTGAGAATACCAGCAAATCATGGTTTCAAGTTTCAACCATGGTATTCAAGTGGTGCGAAATGGATTTTGTCCATCCACAGTACTGTAGCACAACATGCAGGCACCAGCTGGAATGCTGGGCAAAAGACAAGAACACCATTCACCAATCCCAACTATAGTGCAGAATGTCCTTCATCAGATATGACACTTGTTTGGGTGTTTATATCTTGTTTTTTGAGGGTACCCCTTTTGGTCTGCTTTGAAGGAACACAACCAGGACGCCTTTTTTTGTTTTTTGAGGACAGTGAAACACCCGAAAAGTGCATTACCCCAGTCCCCCGGTCTTCTTTTCGGGAGAGGGGGTTCGCTTAAAACTTAAAACGGACAAAACCCATGGGGAGGTCTGTTACGACCAGAGCGAGAACGGAGAGGATCCGACCTGCATGGCGTACGACATGAGCAAGGAAAGGCTGAAATCGATCGATCGGCCAGGAGCGAGTCCCGGTGCCAACTGATAAACAGGGCTCCTTAAGAGATCGATACATTTTGCTAGACCATTTGAAACATGGCTTTTGCAACACCAAAATAAATGGAAAACCACCATTTACATGTTGCAATGTTCAGGTGTATAATGAAAGGATCCCTGTTTTACCAACTTTTTTGGGAGGGTGCCCCTACTAGAAGAGACTACAGAAAAAAGGGCGGCCTTATTCTAACCTCTCTACTGGAGGACCTAGTTGTGGGGTGTTTTTTTGGGGAGGGACCACCAAAAATGGATTCGGTGTTCGTTTTGGTTTTCCTTCAAACCCACACAAACTTTGGTTCCAACCCAGAAAGACACACCCTTTTTGATGGTTTTGGGATCATTTCATGTTGCGGGGTGCGATTCAACCCAGTCATCATCTATTGTTTGGAACCACCCTAATGTTGACCCAGGATTAATAAACCCGTCCCATTATTTGGGGGGGTGTTCCCTCCAAAAGTGATCAATCCCCACCAAAAGGGGACACCCCCTTATTAATCAACCTTATTAATAAACCAGGGGTTTATTACTCTGGGGTCAACATTAAGCACCAGACAGCACCGTCAGGTCAGCTCAGAGCATCCCTACCGGGGAATCGAATCGGCTTCTGAGATCGCTCGCAAGGAGCCCATCACCTACTTGGAGCAGGAGCTGCAGCGATTTGCCACCGCTCAGCGGCGGCTCTTCGAGACCCTCGGCGGCAATCGGACGACTTCTTTCAGAGCTCCTTAAGAAGACCGCTTGAATCATGGCTTTTTCCACCAGAATAAAGGGAAACCGCCATTTACAAGGCAAATGTTCAGGTGTATAATGTAAGGATCCCTGTCTTTCCGTCGACATACCGGTGGATGCCCTAAATGATTATTGCGTAAGCAAACCAACCACAAACAATGGGAATCTACGGGGGTTCCTTCGTTCCTGCTTGCAATAGTTAGGGCATCCGCCGTAATTATCGGGTGCAGTTGCGCCTCAGAGTTGGCAGCTTGTTGGATGGCGCAGCAATAGTTGATGTGAAGCTTGGTATGTGGTTATACGGAGGCTAACCCCGGTCATCCGAGATACTAAGCTGCCCAAATCCCACCTTTTGACCTTTTGGTTTCTCTTTTTTGGCCCATGTTGAGTCAAGGAATTCAAAAGGTAAACCCTTTACTTCTGGGTCCTTAGGGCAACTGAGGATACATCCATGGTTGTAAGAAAAAAGGACCTTTGTTGAACTTCCAGTCCTGCCACCCCCTGCAAAGCCCTACGTGTGCGCGGACAAAATTGCCCGCCGATTGGCATTAGTTGGAATGGGTGGAACCCTGGGATTTTGGCCTCCACTGTATTTTGGACTTGTGTGGTGATGTGCTTTAGGAGGTGGTACCCCAGAACCGACCCGTGCAGTGGCTAACCCGTACTAACTTGGCAAAGAACGTCCAATCAGGAACCCTGACAATACCGATGGACAAAATCCTATAGGGATGGGCGAAGCCCGATTTGAATGGGATCAACCAACTGGTGCGTTTTGTGGATTTTGTCCGTCGTCCAAATTACAAGGAGATGACATGAGATGACCGTTCCAAGCCCAAGCCAAAGAAGGTCGGTCTCACCTTGGCGATCTCAAACCAGAGCTTCTGATTTCGGGTTCTTCCCAACGTAGTTTGTCTTCGTCATCCGAACTTGTGAGATGAGATCCCCTATGGGTTAACCTTATGCTTGGAGACGCGAATTCAGGTTTTGTTTGTTTGTGTGTGTGTGTGTCCATAGTCATGTTGATATCCACATTCCTTTTCCACTGGAAACATTGATTATCCAGACAATTGGACACATCTTTTGTTTTTTAACGAGAGGGGGGGGGTCCAAGCCAAGCTTCAAACATGAAATGAGTTCAGATCCAAGTTTCGGGGCTCTTCAAGTAGTCTGATGCTTTGTTGACATTTTGGGGATTACGAATCAAGGGATCCTAAATGGGTTTGATATAACGGGCATCGTGTGTTTTCGCATCTGATCTTGGATAGCGATCGACCCCCCCTTTAACAGCTGAACTCGACCCGAAATTTCAGCCAACCATTTTCTGTTGGGTCACCCAAAGACTTCACAAAGACCCTCCAAACAACTCGGAATTTCAGCCAGGACGTTGGCTTCACCTAAAGACTCCCAAACAAAGACTGCCCAAACAACTCGCAACTAATCAACCTGCATGGATATTTGGCCTAAAGACTCCCAAACGAGATTTGTGCTTGTGAATTCCCTGGCTCATCGCTCGAACAAAGACAAAACATGTCGATCCGCAGGCTGTCTGTTGCGCCCGGGGAGCCATATCGCCTTTACGGAGAGGCCATCTGGACTATCCGATTCGAACTTGCCAGTGTGACGTCCCCTTCAAAGGTTCGAACAGAAACCGGCAAAAAAGGAGGAAACAGCATCCCACGCCCCGGTTTTGGCGGAAATTTGGACATCCAGTTTCCTGGGTTTGAGTGTCCCGCTTGTTTGGATGAAAGGTGGGTGGCAAAAAATGGAGCAGGAGAACCCTCAGCCCTATCTTTGGAGTGGTTTCGGGTTCCGAGGTGTCTTGACACATCTCCCTTTGCTGGGGTTTGGGGAACGGAAGATGTCCTGGGCCGCAAGGGGTCTATCTCCTGAAGATCTCCTGGGGGAACCCAGCAGTTTTTTGTTGTTGTTTTTTTTTTAAATGGGCGTGTCGTTTTTTTTTGGAGTTTTTTTCTTTCTTTTTTTTTATGGGCGTGTCGTTCTTTTTGGCGGTGCCCTACTTGGGGTTGGTTAAAAAAAGAGACTTGCGGGAAACCCAGCATACTGGATGGACGAAATCCTGTACCACCCAAGCAGCCCTGAAATGATGATTCCCCTGCAAAGGCCAACCACACATGGTTTCCCATAGTTATCGACAGCAGGGGGTCCCGATTTTGAGAGGTGTTGCTGCTCAGTTGGGAGCAAAGATGCAGGTTTCAACCGCCAGTCGCCTTCCCCTTTAATGGGAAATCCAAAGGAGGTAGTTGCAATACCGTGTGTGTTTAAGCATTTTGAAACAAACTCTTCAAGCCGGACCTGGCAGAACCCCTGGTTGATGTTTCGGACGATGAGATCCGGCCAAGACTTCTTTTCGCGGGAGTTACACATTACCACTTGATTTATTCTTTTGGATTTGGACCG